GAGGGAGGGTGGGGAATTGTATCTGTATCAGAAAATCAAATCTTTGTGGGAGATAATACAGCTTTTGTGTACCATCTTTCCTGCAAACTGTACCCTGAATGACTTATAATATGATGGAAGCATTGTAAAAATAACAAGGAAAGATTAAGAGGAATAGGTAAGAGAGAAGAAGCATTCAGCTGTGATTTGAGAGGGGATGAAGAGTCCCTGAGGCAGAGAAATACAGAGAGGTTGACACATGGCAAGAGGAGAAGGCTCTTGCCCCATCAGTGGCAGGACAGAAGAGGCCACTGCTGGATTAGGAGCAAGAACAAGGAAAAGAGAAGGGTTGAAAGTGATTGAACGTGATTCTCGGCTGCCTTGTGAAGTCATTGACACCTGTACAAAGCAAGTGTAGAATGCAGCCACATCTGAATGGTGGCATTTCATCTCCACTTTGCATTGGTACAGATAACTACGCAAGCTGCATGGCAGTGGGGAAGCAGTCTGTGAGCTAGACAGCGTAGCCTACATGCTGCCAAAGAGCAGCTAAAGAATTTAGCTAGCACACTTTATTGACCAATGATTGTTTTATTTTCCACGGTTCAATAGATGCCCCAACTATTGCTATAATCCTCATGAACTTAAGTCCTTGGTAGCAGGGGCTTTTCTTGTAGGGAAAGGAAATCTGTTGGGTTCTCCCTCCCACCTGCTTCTGGTTGTGAAGTACTTGACTGTCTCCTGTCCTTGATGACGTTTGTGCCCAGAACAGAAGGTACACCCATTAATAACTAACCACTTAACATCATAAAATGTATGGGCTAGTATATTAGAGATGGCCTTTGCATTACTTGTAAAGGCAAAAGTTAGGAAATCTGATCCCAGAGCAGAGAGGACACTTAAAGCACACTGCAGTGCTCCACAGAAAAACAGTCACGTGATTTCACTCAAAATAGTATAAATAAAACCACACGAATGGATCCACCAAGCCCAGGATACTGGGTCCACCAAGCCCAGAATCCTGTCTTTTGACAGTGGCCAGTGCCAGATGCTTTAGAGGGAATGAACAGAACAAGGCAATTGTTCAGTGATCCAACCCCTGTTGTTCAGTCCCAGCTGCTAGTAGTCAGAGGCTTCGGGACACCCAGAGCGTGGGGTTGCGTCTGTGACCATCCTGGCTAATAGCCATTGATGAACTTATCTAAGTCTTTTTTGAACCCAGTTATACTTTTGGTCTTCACAACATTCCATGGCAACCAGTTCCACAGGTTTACTGCACTGTGTGAAAAAGTACTTCCTTATGTTTGTTTTAAACCTGCTGCCTCTTAATGTGACCCCTGGTTCTCATGTTATGGGCAGGGGTAAATAATGCTTCCTTATTCACTTTCTCCACACCATTCATGATTTTATAGACCTCCTTAGTGGTCTCTTTTCTAAGCTGAACAGACCCAATCTTTTTAATCTCTTCGTAGTGAAACAGAGATGGTATGTAATGGGGACTGACACTGGAGTTATGTTCCTCATACACTGTAATCCGATTCTCCCAGGCAGAATCCTCAGCGCTTCTAAAAACGCTCCACCACTGCCAGGCCTCCTCTAGCATGCTGTCTGTTTGAAAGCTATGGACTGGTTCTGCTTTCCTTACACACCTAAAATTCCCCTTGACATAAGTGGGCACTTCTTGTGCGCAAGGCATGCGATATAAGCTGCCTAAATGGGGATCTCACTTCTTCATCACATTGCAGGGGAGAAGGTGAACTTTCTGTATTGTACTTCACATTATAGGGGAGGTGAATGGGTACCTTGATGAAGGACACCATAAAAGTATTTAGATAAGTAGCCGTGGGAGTGTCCTGGATGTCCGTCCAGTTTGAGTGGTTGGAAACATGTATGGAAAATCTTGCTACTGGTCCACAGAAGCATTTCTAATGCTGGCAGATCACAGGACAGTAGGACATAAAATCCTTTCCACCCACCCCAGCCCAGTCCCTGTGTACTTCAGATAGCGGCCAATTATATCCTGTCCTGAGAACAAGAGCGAGAAACTTATGCAGTATATCAGCTAGATAGCCCTGTGTTCTGCCTTCAAATGTATCCTCAAATCATTCACCTGTATGCCCAGCTATCTCTGGGAGAGCAGCTGCTAAACCCCATGTCAAAATTGAGGAGGTGGTAGTGGTGGGAGATCCTGTGTGTTCTCTGGAAATATGTGCTTCTAAGATCTGGTGTCTTGCAACTGGCCTTTGTCAGGACTAGAAATTTAAACTTTATTGCTGGATACTATTGGAAAAATCATGGCTTAGTCTCCCCAGTGCTGTATGCCATTCATTTCAAGTTGTGATAGATCATGATTGGGGACTTCAAATCAGTTATAATTCCTCCATTCAGTAATGCTTTATTGGCTTCATTAGGGGACAAAAGACAGTAAGCTCAGATCAGTTAAGTTTCATCTCCATGGCTAAAATAAACAAAACAAATGTTTCTGTGATGTGTTAGATATTATATGAGGGGCACTCTAGGAGTAGGTAGTTGATAGGAAACAATAGTCCTCTAGCAACACGTAAGAGACCACAAGTAAGCCAGCTTTAGATTTTAAGAACCTTTAACTGGTTCTGAAAATAAGACTACACCACTTTCTAAAACTTATTTTACATAAGCCTATTGAAAAGGATAACATACAGTTAATTTGTCAACTAGAATCAACCGATGAACACATTTTTGGGGCATCTAAGGTAACACCGAAAAGATTCAACACTGTAGAGACCTCCATGGTTTTCTTTCACAGAGTCTCTGCCACAATCCCTTTTGTTTAACCAATTAGAAAGAATGGGTGACATCTTGGTCCCATGGAAATTGATGGTGCCAGGATTTCACTCAGTGGTTGTAAATGCTTCTGGATAGGGCTAGTCTTAAAATAGAAAAATGTAGACTGCAGTAACTGATTGCACACTACACAATAAATGCATGCTTTCAGCTGGTAACTTTGCTTCTTTGAAGAACAGTAGCAATTTGTAACTTGTTTAATGACTATCTTATGTTTCATTTCAGTCATAAGACTGCAGGATGAGATGTAGTAGTAGGCTTTGCCGTCGGAAATAATGTACTGGGCTGCTTTTATCCTGTCCTTGCAAACTTGTGTTTGCAAAATGAGTACAGTAAAATATGCAGTGGAAGAAAAGGTGTCCCATGTCTTACGTGACAGTCCTTGTGGGTGCAACAAGATATTTAGAATGGCGTGAGGATTTGTCAGCTGCAGTCATCCTCTTATGTTAAATTATTATTTATCCTTGATCGGGCTGCTTGAACATGATTTTTACGTCATCTATATACACGCCACTGAGCTCATGAGGTCTGATTTTCTTGACGCAGTAACAGGACTTATCTGCGACTGCTAGTAGTAAATATCTCCAACGGTTGGCGATGGAACACTAGATGGGGAAGGCTCTGAATTACTACGGAGAATTCTTTCCCAGTTGGCTGGTGGGTCTTGTTCACATACTCACCATATTTGAGGTTTGGAAGGAATTTTCTCCTGGGTCAGATTGGCAGATACCCTGGGGTTTTTTCGCCTTCCTCTGCAGTGTGGGGCCACGGGTCACTTGCAGGTTTAAACTAGAGTTAATGGTGGATTCTCTGTAACTTGATGTCTTTAAATCATGATTTGAGCACTTCAGTAACTCAGGAGTAGGTGGGTGAGGTTTAGTGGCCTGCAATGTGCAGAGGTCCGACTAGATCATGATGGTCCCCTTCTGGCCTTAGTCTGAATCATTCTTGTCTGTCTTCACTTGTGAATTTATTGGCAGAGGGAGACACTTTTCCATTAGGAGGGGAAAAATCCAGGAGAAGCAGTGCAGATCGATGTATTATGTATGTGACCTCTTTCTTCCATTTCTTCTCCCTCACCCAGCAAGGGATAATCTGTTCATCTGCACTTTGGGGCAAATTCCAGAGCCTTTTGTTTTCTGTCTTTCCCTTTTGCATATGAGAATACACTTCTTTCTTTCCACATATAGGTGTTGATCCTGTTGATTTCATGCTATATGTGGCAAATTACTCTCCACAGGAAACCCAGCAAATAGTTCTTTAGCAAGCTTAGCATAACAACCTTCACGGATCTTTTCACCAGTTTAACTGCAGTGCTTCCCTCCTTAGCGGCTTTAAATCACTTCCTCAATTTGCTCCGGGGATGCCACTGTTATGGCCTTCAACTAAACAGTGCTGCTTGTCATATTTATTGGGTACCTCCTCTCTGTGCCTGGAGCTAGCAATAGTTACCAGTTCCTTTTATTAGGTGTTTAATGTGGTACTGCTGTTACTTGGTGGCCTCTTCTCAAGCAGTGCTTCCTATAGGTCATTTCACAGTGCACCATACTAGGGAGTCCAGAAGTGAGAGATCAATATGTTGTCTAATAGCACCTCACCCTGTCCTTGGGAGCCATTCATATTTACAGGAAGGGCTTGGTGTTGACTCAGCAAGAAGTCCGGAGAGCAGGTAGCTATACACTAGCAATTCATAATCTAGATGTGACCTGTTCCGTCCTTGGGAACGCATTGGAACACTGATTCTCTCTGAACTGTTTGCTGCTTGGGTGAGATCACAGAGTTTCCAGGCACTGTACTTCACTCTACTTAATTAACTGTCCCATACACGGAGACCATGTAGATGTGACCTGGAATCCACACTGGCTAATGTTCTTTAAGCAATCTGATCAAGCTGCCCAGGTAGCTGGATAAAGAGTATCTTGGGATTCCTCTCTCTAAAGTATAGTGGGGTCTGGTGGTAGCTGCTAAAGTTAGTTGCAAAATAGTTTCCATTAGAGCCCCTCTGTTTTCAGCGGCTCACTCTTTCTAAAAGTTGCGTTTTGTGCTGAAATTTTCTATGCTTGATCTCTGTTCAAAGATTTTTTTATCAAATTCCATCCAGCTTCTCTGAGTTTGGAAAAAGTAAAGAATATGCACTTTACCAGGAAAGCGGTGAGACCTACTAGTGTGTAGTAATATTGCTGTAATGTTACGTAATCATGGATGAAAGGATTGTGTCCCAGATTCTGATCCCAGTTACACTGTGTAAATGTGGAGTAAGAATCTTCTCCCAAAGGGAAATGCATACACACAAAGGGGATGAAGTTAAAGCCATGTATGTAAATATTACTTAGGCATTGCCTGATGGCTGAGTGCTTGACTGAGGTACCTGAACGTTGCATTAACGTAGAGTGGGTTGTTTGGTTGGTTTTTGTATTTCACATTGAATGGAAATTCAGCCTGAAAGTCAGGTGAGGGTATTTGCTGTGTACTATGTAGTAAATTTAATTTTCTACAAAACCTTTGGCATGTAATGTGCCCGTGGCTTCCCGAAATAGCTTGGATGTTCCTGGGCTTTGATGCTGAAATCCTGGCCCTGTTGGTGACATCCAATGGCAAAACTCCCAGTGGGGCCAAGATTTCACGTGACGGTCCTGATTCCATCACTCTTATGCAAGCTGAGTAGCTAGGGTTGCCAACTCTCTAATGGCACAAAACTGAACACCCTTCCAGCCCCACCTCTTCCCCAAGGCCCTGCCCCTTCTCTGAGGCCCTGCCCTCCATCCCCTCTCCCTCTGTCGCTCGCACTCCCCCACGCTCACTCACTTTCACTGGGCTGGGGTTGGGGTTGGGGTGCGGGAGGGTGCAAGTGCACTGGCCAGGGATGAGGGGTGCAGGAGGGGACTCCAGGCTGGAGCTGAGGGGTTGGGTTGCGGGAGGGGTTGCGCGGGGTGCGGGCTCTGGGAAGGAGTTTGGGTGCAGGAGCGGGATTAAAGCTGGGGCAGGTGGTGGAGTGTAGGAGGGAGTGCGGGCTCCAGCTGGGGGTGTGGGCTCTGGGGTGGAGCCAGCGATGACTGGTTTGGGGTGCAGGAGGGGGCTCAGGGCTGGGGCAGGGGATTGGGTTGCAGGAGGGGTTGCGTGGGGTGCGGGGTCTGGGAAGGAGTCTGGGGGGGGGGGCCTCAGGGCTGGGTGTGGGCTCCAGGAGAGAGTTTGGATGCGGGAGGGGGCTCAGGGCTGGGACAGGGGGTTGGGGTGCAGGAGGAGGGATGGGGTGCATGCTCCAGAACGGGTTCCAACCTGGGGAAGATGCAGGTAGAGGTTTGGGCTCCAGCAAAGCGACTCTTACCTTCGTCAGCTCCCACCTCCGTCGGCTCCCAGTTGGTAGTACAGCGGGGCTAAAGCAGGCTCCCTGCCTGCCCTGGCTCCGTGCAGCTCCCAGAAGCGATCGGCATGTCCGGCTCCTAGTTGCAGGGGTAACCAGGCTGCCGTGCCCACAGGCACCGCCCCTACAGCTCCCATTGGCTGTGGTTTCCGGCCAATGGTAGCTGCAGAGCTGGCGCCTGTGGGCGTGGGCAGCGTGCGGAGCTTCCCTGATCGCCCCTGCGCCTAGGGGCCACAGGGATATGCTGGCCACTTCCGGGAGCTGTGTGGAATCAGGGCAGGCAAGGAGCCTGCCTTAGCGCCGCTGCACCGCCAATGGCCGCTTAACGGCCCAGTCGGTGCTGACCAGAACCTCCAGGGTCCCTTTTCGACCCGGCATTACAGTAAAAAACCAGATGCCTAGCAACCCTATGAGTAGCACTTCATTCCATGATCATGTTAATTTTAGAGATCAGAGTAAGGGTGGCAGGATAATTTCAAGCAGAGGGCCTGAAGGAATCCTTCTGAAGATGGGGTTGCAGCGTCATGTGATATCTTCTCTCTGCCTTTTGGTTTAAATAGTAGTGACTGTTACCAGTTTGATATCTGAATATGTCCTTTCCCCGGGCACTATATCTCGCACTGGCAGTGGAATGGACTAGATCTTCTAACAGGTCTCTTCCATTTATATTTTCTGTTATTTATACACATTCTATACTGGTGCTAAAATTGCCTTCTGCTGCTCTGGAGCCGCTGACACTCAGTCCTGGCTGAGACCCTCAGCCAGGACTCTTCCACCTGCAGCTTGTTCCTGCAGAGATCAGGTTTCACCAGCCCTGTGTCCGCCCTCTACAGCTCTGCTGTCACAGGTGTTCTCACCTCCTCCAATGACAGTGGGGCTGCCAGGCGCTCCCTGCATGGCTGCAGCAGCCATTCAGCAACAGGGTGGCCTCCTCTGCCTCTGAAGGCTTCTCCTCCTCCTCCTCCTCCTCCTCTTCACAGTGCTGGCCAGGGATTTCTGCTCTCTTATCCGAACCTCTGCATTATCCGAATCCCTTCCTTGTCCCTCTGCAGCACATATCTCATGCTGGGGGATAAGGAGGGTGATTCAGATAATGCAGAGGCTCGGACAGTAGCGTTTTGAATCAACAGGAGTATACAACATATGTTTAATCTCTTTTTATTAATGTACTAAGTTGTATCTCAGTAGTATCCTACAGCAAGGAGTTTCACAATTAAAGGGCATATTAACATACTTACATAAGAACATAAGAATGGCCGTACTGGGTCAGACCAAAGGTCCATCTAGCCCAGTATCCTGTCTACCGACAGTGGCCAATGTGAGGTGCCCCAGAGGGAGTGAACCCAACAGACGATGATCAAGTGATCTCTCTCCTGCCATTCATCTCCACCCTCTGACAAACAGAGGACAGGGACACCCTTATTGTGAGTCCAGTTCTCTGTTTGTTGGAATGCTTAGATGAAACATCAGTTTCTGTTGTTGAAAGGAATGAAGGGTGGGAGAGACCAAGAGCACAGTAGTCAGTGGCTGATATCCAGCATAATCCTGTTGAGTGATGATAGGAGGAATCTCAAACAGCAGGATTATTGTTATTGGAGTGCTGTAGCACCAGGGGGTAAATGCCAGGATGCTAGTTCCCTGCAGTAAGAGGCAGTGGTGCTTTGTAATTGTAGCAGTGGATGGTAAAATTAAAGGAATTCTGTTTTAAGATGCTCAGAAGCATTAACTTTTTAAAGTTTCCAACTGGGAAATGTATGGTACTGATACTGTCAGTCATGCTTTTTTCAATAGCGTGAATATTTCATTCATCCTAGAATCTACACACATAAGGAAAACTTAAAACAAAATTAAGATGCATATGAAGATGCAAAAACACAAAGCAAGGGCCATTGAAGGTGGGAGAGACAACCCAGAGCTTTACAAGGAGATGAGTTTATAAAAAGCCTTTCTCCTCTGACACACAGGGATGAGAAGAACCAGTCCATTATCGTAAGCGGAGAATCCGGTGCCGGAAAGACAGTCTCTGCCAAATATGCCATGCGCTTCTTCGCATCTGTTGGTGGCTCTGCCAGTGAGACCAACATTGAAGAGAAGGTCCTTGCATCCAGTCCAATCATGGAGGTAAAGCTGGCCCAAAAGAAATTACATAGATTTTTATTCTACTTTGAGCAATCTGTGTGCATTTGTTTCTAGCATTCGCAAATTGCACCAACTTAGGGTGGGGTTGCTTCAGGGTTGGGATCCTCCCTCTATCTTGTAGATGGGGGTTTCTGTCATGCTGTTTATGTACAGGACCTGTCTCAGCCTCAGAAGTGAGATCCGGGAATAGGAAAATATAGCTATTTTAACTAGATTTGTATATAATTATTAAATATAGTCAGTTTTTTTTTAAATAATTGGGATTGACTAGTTCAGGCAACTTTTTATGTATAGGTCACCGGTTTAAAATCTGTCGCAGGCTGATAGTGACTATAAGCTGTTAAAATGTCCGTTCAGTGACCCACTGTATGTGAAATATGCTGTGGGGTCTCTGTCTAGTTCTTTATCATGGAGATGGGGGTAGGGGGAAGCCCACCACAACTGGCCCACTTGTTGCCCGTCTCAGGAGCGAGGCCAAGGATTGAATGCTCCATGGAGACCGTTCGAACGATCTCAGTGTTGCTAGAACTGTGCTGATAACAGCCGTGTACAAAAAAGGTTGTAGGTAGCAGAGTTCAGATAACACTGCAGACATGATGTTTGTGTGGCTTTATCTACATCATTAATTATCGATCATCTTCACCTTCATTATTCTCTCTTTGCTTCTTGTAGCATCCCTAACGTTTATATATATATATATATGGAGAGAGGTTTCTGCTGAATCTATAGATTGAATCAACATAGATCTACTCTTTGCATATTCTCTTATTAGGACGTATTGGTGATAGTAGTACCTGCTGACTAGGCACGTGGAGATCTCTTTTGCTCTGAACTAATTTATTTATTTTTTCTCGCCTTACTAATGAAGGCATTTATAGTGCATCCATCACTGTGGAATTTACATGGCTTGAATTGACGTGGTTAAAAATATAATCCCTGTCCCAAAGAATTTAGTCTTGTTTATTGATGTTAAAAGTAAATATTCTGCAACCCCCAGCATCAGCATAACTTTAAATGATTTTGAGAGAGGGATGCCTAACCCGTGAGTTTAAAACTCAGTGAAAAGCCTGGACAAACAGGTGCATCTAACTATACCCTGACAAGGATGTTGGTGGTGCTTAAGAAATATTGGTAATTCACAATAACCCTATCAGTGATCAGGTTTAGCACTAAACGTATTTCTGATAACAGTTCCATAGCACACCCTGTGGTCTAGCTCCTTCCATCTTCATACTGAGGGCACATCATTTAAGAGTTCTGACAAATGCAGGTGGTGTGGTGGAACAGACCAGGAGAAACGTCTCTTAGGGTATGTCTACACAGCAACTAGACACCCACCTCACAGGGTCCTAGAGCCCAGGCTCCAGCCTGAACTCAGAAGTCTACACAGCAATGAAACAGCCCCTCAGCCCAAGCCCTTGAGCCCAAGTCAGCCAGGACAGGCCAACTGCAGGTGTCTAGTTGCTGTGTTAGGGTACATCTATGCAGTGGGGAAAAAACAACCCCCAGCAGCAAATCTCGGAGCCTGGATCAGCCGACTTTGAGTTTGTGCTGTGGGGTTAAAAATATGAGTGTAGATGTTCGGGCTCAGGCTGGAGCCTGGGTTCTGAGACCCCCGTCACTGGGTTTAGCACCCAAGTTCCAGCCAGAGCCTGCATGTCTACAGTGCTATTTTTAGCCCTGGAGTGTGAGCCGCAGTCAGTTGACCTGAGCTTTGAGACTCACTGGCTATGTCTACACAGCAATGTAAGCCTACGGTTAATGGGACTCGAGTCAGCTGTCCTGTGTCGGGGACCCCGGGGCTTGAGCATCTGCATTGCATTTTAACCCTAAGTTAAGAATTTTCTGACCCATCAGAAGCACCTGAGTACATAAGCTGCATAGTGAACTCCTTTGGTAGCTGTCAGTAGAATATGTGCAGCGTGGGAAGGCTGTAGTCTGAGAATTGAGCTCTCCAGCTCCAGGCTGAGTCACGTTGGCAGGAAATGCCCATGTGCACCGGTTCTGAGGGTAATGAGGACGTCAGTCTCCAGGGCTGTCAAAGAATTAAAATGAAACTTTGCAATTCTTAATTTTTAAAATGAGACGTTCCACGAAGATGGTTTGGTTGTTGTTTTATTTATTTTTGTCGGTTTGTCTTGAAGTTTGGCATAAAATGTAGGTTTCAGAGGAAAAGCACACATGCCCCAGCCTGGCTGCTGCCGGCTGCAGAACGGTGAAGTGCATCCCCAGGGCTTGTGCGCTGTGTGCTCCTGCACCCCAGGAAGCAGGGATAAGGGCTCCCTGGGAGGCTGTGGGGAAGTTTGGGGGCTGGTTCCCACTTGCTGCCCTGAAAGTGCATGCAGCCCAGTCGCCCCTGCACACGCAGTCCCAGCGAGGGCTCTGGGGCTTGGGAGCAAAGGCCAGAGAGCGGAGCAGGACCAAGTGGCTGCCCTGCAGGGCGAGGGAGCGGCAGGGCTCCCAGTTTAGCATGGTCAGGGGAGGAATGATCCCACCATCCCGATGTCCAGGAGCCGCCTCCTGCCTTTCAGCTTTGCTCCCTGCTCTGGACACGCTCTGCACAACAATGAGGAGGAGCTGGAGCCAGAGCGACCGGCGTGAGAGGAGCGGGAAGGGGGATGACGTTTGGCCAGACAGTTATGGCGTTAGTTCCGGCTGCTGCACTGGCTGCCTTCAGTGCTGCTCCTCTGCCACCAGGAACTCTGGGATACATCCAGAGGACTGCTGGGGCCGTGGGCATACAGGGAACCAACAGAGCTCAGACTCTCCGGCCTTGCAGGGTCCTGGGCCCCTGGGTCTGAGCCCTAGGTTAGCACATTTGAAGTGTGGATGTTAGGGGAGTTTGGCTTGAACCTGGGCTTAAATTGCTGTGTAGACATACTCACTGCTGCGGGTCTTATTTTGCTGTGTAGACGTACCCTGACATAACTTGAGACTGGGGTATTCGGGACTTCGTCGATTATAACCTGAAATCAAGGCTGAACTCTTACCCTGGCACACTGCGGCATTGGCAGTGGATTTATGTTTTGGAGAGGCAGATTTACTTGTGGGGTTATTGAGCCGGGCCCTGTCCTACTCATTGACATACTGGCTGCAGGGATTCATACATACATACAATTGTTGGATGCATCTAGACTGCAGCTCTATTTTTATCCTTTCCAAAGCGACTGAAGAAATATATAATAATGGCTGCATTTATTGCAGATATTGTAGGCACAGCGCATAGTGCCTATGCTGGGTCTGGAGAGCTGCCACCGTTGTACAATAACTTAGCTGCGATGACAGGCCTTTCCCATTTCGGGTGGCGGATACTCCCGCGATGCCCCAGTGGACACACCTGTACATCTGTAACAATAAAATGGACGTATTTTCATTGCTGTGAATTTTAAAAAGTGCCAGATCGCCCCCGTTATGTGATGGAGGACTTCACTTTCTAGGGATATCCATGTCAAAAGAGCATGCTTCCCTCACAGTGCCCCGACAACGTGCTTCAGCATGGGTGAGAAGAGACCGTTATTAGAGATGAGAAGGGCGTGCAGGCTCCAGCTCATTCAGTCCGCCTCTTTGCTCAGGCTATCCACAAGGTTACCATTACCTTTCTAAGCTTTTTCTGCAAAGTGGATGGCACATGAGGATCCACAGACCTACAGTATATTAAGTGATGTGTCCAATTCCTAGTGGACTAAGTGTCGATAAGTCCACCTCAGAAAACCACCATCACAAACTGTTATTAATCAGCATTCTTGTTTGGTAGTCTCACCTGAGAGATACTTCATTACACTGGTAAGTGGTTGACCTGGATCGTATGCTCCCTGTGGTAGGGACCATGTCCTTCTACATGTCTGTAAAGTTCCAACACACTATGGGTGCTATACAAGTACTAAATGAAATTGAATGATGATTGAGTGGCCATGGGTCAGAGGCACTGACTTTTATTTTTCCACGGGGGTGCTCCGCTCCTGCTCCGCCCTGAAGCCCCGCTTCCACGGCACCTCTTCCCCTGAGGCCCCACCCTTACTCCGCCCCGTCCCCAACACCCCCCCCCCCGCTACTCTCTGCCCTTCCCCAAGCCTCTCCGCAGCTGCCAAACAGCTGGTCAGCGGTGCCCCATGGATCACCTATTTTGGTGGGGCATCGCCAAACAGCTGTGGCTGGTGGGTGCTGAGCACCCACTATTTTTTTTTTCTGTGGGTGCTCCAGCCCCGGAGCACCCACAGAGTCAGCAGCTATTGGTATGGTGCCAAAAAATCCTCTAACCCCTGAAGGAGTAAGAGTTGAGGCACACGCTGGCAGTAAGGGGGAAATTGGCACTGCTGCCCTCCCGTGCTGTACTCGTCCCACGTATAAAGAGAGGGCACGAAATACCAGGAATGTCAGTCTGGCAGCTATCACCAGCATGAAATTCACTTGTCTTAAAAACCTGAAGTAACTGACTTGAACCAAGCTTTCCTAAATCTGAATGATAATTGATCACAGTGGGTCTTCCGTAAGTGTGTGTTTATCATCAGCCCTGTTCCATTTTAAATGAAGTCTCAGCTGTTACGCTAATGGTTGGTACCAGTGCTGTTCTGGCATGGAATCAATACCCTTTCCAAAGAAGCTCTTTGCCCTGTAAATACCCCTGGTTTGAACTTGTCAACCCTTGCGCATTCCCCTTTCCTAGGCAATGGCACCCTGTGTCTCACCCATCTATTTTCAGCGTGTCGTGGCTTCCTTTCCTTTTACTCTCAGCAGTGTTCTGAGGGTTTAGCAACCTCCACACATGAAGGGAAGACAGATAATCCATTCCAGCTAAACCTGTGCAACTCGAGCAGTTTTTAGTTATGGCAAATTGTCTTTAGTTCTGTTTCACTGTGCAGTTCCGGTGCGGCCGTCATAGCCCTTCGAGAGGGAGAGGACTTGTTAGGTCCTCTAGTCCATCTCCTTGCTAATGCCGGATTGTGACTTGGATCTTCATAAAACTGGAGGTGACTCAAATACTG